GCAGACACACACAGAGGGCACACCACATGAGGAGAGGGCAGCGGCCAGGCATGCACCGTACGCCGCACTCCACGCACGACACACAGATGGAAGAGGGAGAAGCAAACAGGAGCGGCACACAAGGCTCCACTGAATGCACATACGGCGAGAGCGGTCCGTCGTGTCGGCATCCCTCACGGAGGGTACGCACACACGCAAGAGGATAGGCGCAGCGCACACAGCAACACAAAAGCAAAGTAACAATAAAAAAAGAAGATATCCTCGCACACCACGTGGATTGTTGGCCCACGGGAATCGCAGCCAACATTCATCGCAAAGCAAGTTGTTATCTTGTTTTTGCTTTATGCTGTTACAATAACGAGTGAGTAGCGCAAGGGCCGTCCGTACAAAAGTGGCAAGCATTCCATCCGAAACGTGCCGTCGTGCGAGCTGGGGTACTCCAAAACAGTCGCATTCCCAATTGCCAACGACGGGGGCATTTCTGCAGTGGATGAAGCAAATTCTCTCGTGGCCCATCTCGAGTACCCGCGTTTGCGCTTTCTGCGTGTTTTGCCTGCTGGCGTGCTTGGCACTTTCTGTGGCGACCTGTGCGTGAGGCGCCTGTTAAGAAGACGCTGGCACCATTGTGGCATCCGCATCCGAGGCCTTCTCGAACTATCGGAACGCCAGGTTGAGCACGTCGGGCATGTGCCCTCATACTGTGGACGGACGAGCGCACTCTGCTGCAGGTTGGGCAGGAGGACGTCAATCTGCCGCTCGCTGGTCGGCAAGGATTTGCGGCGCTCACTTCGGGAAGAGGTTCTGGCGGAGGCAGAGGCGGGCCGGTCTCCTCAGTGGGGGAGGGACGGCACCACCGACACAGAGGGTCACTTGTGATCCGCAGGGCGCGCGCAGGTATGTCGAGGAGTGGGCGGGAATCGCACCGTGCCTTTGCGCAGAGCCGCCACTCGGGGCACGATGTCCGGGTTGTGCCAGGAATAGAGTCCCTGCCGCACCGACAGGCGCCTGTCATGCGGTGTACGCGCCCTTCTTTTTCTTCTGGGCATCCCTCCAGTACGGTCACCCGACTGCAGTAAAAAAGTCCACGTGCCAGATTGGGCCGCCCTCCTGCGGGAGGGATCGTGCAATCATGGCTTGTTCGTCAGCGGCCTCATTGCGTGGGATACCGCAGTGCAATAGAGAGAACATGACATCTACATAGTGACCTCGCTGTATCAAGAAGAGCAGCATAATCCAACTCTCTTCAGTAACGTAGCCTCGCACGGCCAGTGGAACGACGCGGAGTGCCTCAGTTCTCGACAGGGAGTCCGTTGCCGCCAGGATTCGTGTGGGCGATTGGGATGTTTCCAAGCAAAAAGGTATGAGATGTCTAATGCCATTTTCAGTGGCAAGGCACTCTGCTCTATGAGCGTGCGAGCCTGCCAGCTGCTGCACGATGGACCTCCACAGGGAGATCATTTGTCGTGGTGGAGCCGTACAATGGTGCAGCGGATCCAGATGCGAGCTCGGTGAGAGATGAAGAAACGTCTGTCCATAATTCAAAATCTCCCAGAGAGGAGTAAATAGAATCAAGAGCCGTGCGCTTGACGTCGTCAGAGGCGTCTTGGGCAAAGCGTGGCTGATAAATTCCACTTTATTGCAGCTCACAGTGTCCCAGGGGAAAATTCAATGTTGAATAGGAGGAGCGCGATTGTGGCTGTGGGGTATCCCAATAATATTACATAAGCGGCGTAATCCATTAATAACAGCATCCTCGGAAGCAGGATTGATGTCGCCGCTTTTCACGCATGGACGGCGGCGTGACCTCCAATCATATTGCGCCACACACGTCCTCAATAAATCGGAAAAGTGTGAGGCGTTCGTGTTGTGTGAGTGCAAGAATCCAGAGTATCCTCCGCAGCGGTGCTGGATTGGCGGCCAGGTGGACAGAAGTATTGTCCTTCGCTGGTGCGCGTGGGCCGAGCGATGCAGTGCAGCTGTCGCAGTGCCGCACTCCCAGGCCGTGGAGGTGAATGGGAGCTGGACACGGTGTGATTGCCTCGTCGCTGTGATGCAACGCACTGTGGAAGCACCCAACCAGAAGGGATCGCGTGGTGTGCCGGGACGCCCCAGCCTCTGCACCCAGCCGCAGCTGATGGCGGCGTGGCACGGTCCGCATCGCAGTCCATCTAAAGCATTGTTTTTTCATTTGCATTGTGGTGTGTGACGAAGGCGCGTAGGAGCTTCCCGATGTGGTTGGAGACTTGCGATTCTGAAGAATGCGTTGCAGTTGCACAGCGTCGTTTTGAGAAGGTGAGTCCCTGCCGCATTAATCAACAAACAACATCTCGGATGACAGCAGGAAGCACTGCGGTTTCTCCTCTTTTTGCAAAGCGAATTTATTGTACGGTGTGTTTGGTTGGCAGCTCTTGTGGGAGAAGGTGGGAGGCTGAGGGCATGAGGAATGAATTCATTTGAGTGACTGCGTTCCGTTGAATTTCGACCAGTCGTGGCACCCTTTTGGGGTTTGACAGCTGTCTCTTTTGTTTACTTCCCACTGCAACACGCGGATAACACCGATCCGAGGAACATTTGTTTGACCGCGTGTGGGCTGCTGCCGTGCGTGGTGCATAGACCATGTGATTGTGTGGGGAGGTGCATTGGAGTGACGAATACTTCTGTTTGGCGTGTCGCGGTGTGTCGGAATGATGTTCGGAAAACATGTGGAGGTGTTTTTTGTGATTTGTGTGTCTTCTCTGGTGGAGCCGACATGTGTGCGGGGATTGTGGCATTGCTGGCTGACAGCTCCACGTCACTCTTCGGCATTTCTGGATGTGCTGAGGAATGACGGCTGGCGACCAGCGTGTTGGTGCTGCTGGTGGGAATAATTGCATGAGGAATATGCCGTTTTCCCCTCCCCTTGCTGGAGCCGATGAAATGGCACGAGGGCACCGGCTGCAGGCTGCCTGCCAGCACGTGCGAGCAGCGGATCCATGCACGCACCGACGCCCATCGCAAGAGCTTGTGCGATCACGGTGGCCTTTTGTGGCGTGCTTTTATGGGCGTCAGCCCATCGAAGAATGTGTGAAGCAAACGGCTGACTGCACACGAGGAAAATAAGTGCCTGCACTGTGCCGTGTTTCAGCGTCGATGGCAGAGCTGCAGGAGGCCCGTGCTGGCAACTGAGCTCTTTGCGTCGCGAGTGATGTCGGTGTTGATTTTGGATTGTCGAGGGAGAAGTGATTTTGCTGCTGCCCGTGTGTGTGGCCACTCCGGCAGAGGGCGGACACAAAAGGGAGGGATGCAGGCGCTGCGTGTGTGTGTATGCGGGTGCCATGCAACAACGTCACAACAAACATGCTGCGACTCGGTGACCCTCACATCGCTGTGGCCCTCACGAACAGCCGAGGCACGGCCCGCATCGATGCACTCAGTGGACGGAGTGAGGCAGTTTTTGAGGCGCTGCAGGGAACAGGATGTGTTGACGCAGCCACGACGTGCATGGAGTGTCACGATGGCACCGTCAGCTGTGGCTGGTGGAATAATTGCTTCTCGGAGGCAACAGGGGGAGAGAGAGCTGCTCCTGCTGCTGGCGCTGTTGCTGCCTTTTGTGGCCTCCCATGCCGATTATTGTCTGTCCGCTGATCATGGGTGTCATGCCTCCACTAGTGACGTCGTCTGCAGGCATTTCACAGCACCAGCGAAACACACATCACGTCGCATGCTTTGGCTGTGGATATGGTGTCGTGAGTGCAGCCGGCATTATTTTGCCCGACTCCTTTTCACTGCTTTGCGACGAATAGATGCGTCGCCGCCCGAGTCATTCACTGCAGCTCCGTGTGTTGTACTGCCAGCACAAGACTCTCCTGTTGTCTGACGCCTGGCTGACAGTCAAACACCACTGCGTTGGGACATGCAAGGATGTGGACTGCCGCTCACGGTGTTGGGCACCGCTGTTTGGATGCGGCGGCCACACGAGCGGATGTATTGTGGCACAATCAAATGCGTGAAATACGCGGAATCACAGCGGCGGCAATAATATCAGCGGTGTGGCACCACGGAGTACGTGAGAGGGTGATGCATGATGAATCACCGTGGGCGGCATGCGAGGGAAGTGCACCGCGACGGTGCGTCACCCCGCCCTCAGCCTGCAGGGGAATGTGCACCCACAAAATATATGGGCGAGACACCACCAAACAGTCATGCCCTTCCGTGCACTAATAAATAGGAGCGAAGGTGCGTTCTGGTGCGTGGAAGTCCACTCACATATTTCCATTTCCACCGCAATAAACGGTGAGGAGTCATGTGCCACAGCAAAGAAAGGAAAAACAAACATTTATTGCAACGCTTTACCAGCGAAAGGCAGGAACGACAGAAACCGAATTTTTGGCTGCACCAACACAATAAAACTTCATAAGAGGAGGAAACAGTTGTGCACACTGCAGGAACCCCCAACACACGATGCAGGCATGAAGGTTTACCCTCTGCAAAAACAATAACAAAACGCATGCAGACATCTTCCAACATTCAAACAGAAACACAAATAAACGGTTTCCTGCACTCTTCCACTCCTTGCGCTGAATATGAACGAGGGCCGAAGGCAACTGAGTTGCTTTTGTGATGAATATTGGCTGCAATTCCCGTGGACCAGTAATTTACGTGGTGTGCGGGGATCTTTCCTTTTTAATTGTTACTTTGCTTTTGTGTTGCTGTGTGCGCTGCACCTCCTCCTGTGTGTGTGCGTACCCTCCGTGAGGGGTGCAGACACGACGGACCGCTCTCGCCGCATGTGCATGCGGTGGAGCATTGTGTGCCGCTCCTGTTTGCTTCTCCCTCTTCCATCTGTGTGTTGGTGTTGCGGCAGGGCTGTGTGTGCGGCGTACGGTGCATGCCTGGCTGTTGCCCTCTCCTCATGTGGTGTGCCCTCTGTGTGTGTCTGCCGCACCTCTCGTCTCCCCTGTTGCTCTCCATGTCCCTCACCGTGCAGATCAGCTCCACACCACCGAACGACCACACTCACGATGATGATGACGTGCCGTCTGCTGTGCGCCCTGTTGGTGCTTGCCCTGTGCTGCTGCCCGTCCGCGTGCGCGACGAAGGGTAGCGGAGAACAAGATGAGGACAACTCCAGTTCATCACCTTCTCAGCCACCGGAAGCAGGTGGTGCAGGGCCAGCAAATGATTCCACGACGCCAATTTTAACAGCTCCGGCTGTCACGTTACCGGGAACCCAAAGTCAGGACGGTCAGGAAGCCGCTTCGCCAGGGAGTGCAGGTACAGAAGCTCCGGTGCCTATTTCAAAAGCGAAACCAGATGGGTCCGATGGGACAGGGTCTTCAGGTGGGTCCGTTAACCCAAATACATCGTCAAGTTCCGTGACCGCTTCTGTATCGGCACAAAGTCAGAAGGAAAATGCGCCAACAACAACCACTACAACAAAGGCACCAACCACGACGACTACTACTACAACCACCACCACTACGACTACGGAGGCGCCAACTACAACCACGACGACCACCCGCGCACCGTCACGTCTTCGCGAAATCGACGGCAGCCTCAGCAGCTCTGCGTGGGTGTGTGCCCCGCTTGTGCTTGCCGCATCCGCGCTGGCGTACACCACTGTGGGCTGAAGAGGTGTGTGCGGGCTGTGCGTGCCAGCACTCAACCGCGTGGATTTGTGCGCGTCCACTTTGGTCCGATGTAAATAAATAAGAGAAAATGGTGATTGTGTTTTGCTTTACTTGCTTCCGCTGCCCTGCTGTGTGCTCCGTGTTGCCGCTCCCTGTATCCGTCACGTTGAACGCATGCCAGGCACACTCATATGCATGGCACGCACACGACTGTTTGCGTGGAGTCACATTTGAGGATAGGTGCGTGCGCGCTGGAGCAATACTGTGCAGCCCTTTGTTTTTTTGTGTGTGTTTTTACATTTTAACTTCATTGCTGTTCGTTTACCTGTGTTTTGTTTCTAATTGTTTTGTGTGTTTTTTCTGTTTACTTGCTGCGGGGCGTTGTGTGTTTTTGTCCTTTCACTGCTTTCAACTGCCTCGTGGTTTGTGTGCGCTGCCGCTGCTGTGCTGTTTCCATTTGTTGCTGTGCTGCTGCCGTTTGTTATTTTGCTGTGGCTGTGCGTGGTGTGTGACTTGTCTCTATTTTTGCTTCGGCTCTGCGTTGACGTGTTGTTATTTTGTGCTGAGGGCTGCACGCAAGTGACAGGAGTGATGGCGATGATGAATGGCCGTGTGCTGCTGGTGTGTGCCCTCTGCGTGCTGTGGTGCGTTGCCGGCGGGGCTGTTGCGAGTAATCTCGGGAACAACGCAGTTGGTGGCTGTATGGCGTCGTGGGTGTTGAATACGAATAAATCGTATACGCCGAGCGGATGCGAAAAAACGGCGCTGACGCTGCCTTTACGATCTGTCTTGTCCATCACTGCCGTTGAAGCTTCGACTGACCCATTGGTGACTGGTACAGCAGAAAATAAATCGGATTTAGCTCCAAGTTCAGGTGCTGATTTCGGTGGTGCCGGTTCTCCTCCTGGTCGCGGAGGTGAAGGTGGAGGCGGTAGAGACGACGGTGCTGGCGGTCCTGGTGGCGTTGGAGGTGCCAGTGGCAGTCAAGCTCGTGGCAGCAAAGCTTCTGTTGGCGGTGGTGGTGGTTCAAATGGAGGTTCTAAAGCACGTGTTGATGGCTCTTTGAAGTCCCCATCTCCTGTTCTCGGTGATGGTGGCAGTTCTCCTGGGGCTCCTACAGGAAGTGCAGGTTCTGACGGAAGCAAAGGTTTCATTTTTGGCTCCTTTTCTTCTGGTGGTCGCAGTCAGCCTGATGTTGGCAGTCCAGGTGGTGATGCATCTTTGAGCGCTCCTGTTGCTGGTGGTAATTCCCCACCCTTCATCACCGACGAGAGTGATGCCTTGGAGAAAACCGGCGCTGCGGCATCCACAAAGGGAAGGAAACCCCAAGAAGCAGGTGAGCAGTCAGAAGCAAATCGTGCACGGAACGAATTGCCCGAATTGTCGGCACCAGCGGAGTCAACACCCGAAGCACAAGAAGACTTTCCCAGTAAACAAGAAAAACCAGAAAATGAAGCTGCTGGTAGGGCCGCAACTGGAAACGAGAAACGGCGGATTGACGCGGAGGCACAAGGTCCTTCCACCGTGATGTCCACCGCCAGCACCCCGCCACTACCACCGCCAGCGCCAGCAACGGTAGGAGAAGAACGACCAACAGCACAAACAGACTCGCAAAATTTGACAGAAGAAAGGACAAAAACGCCACCTTCACCAAACAAAAAGGAGCCTGAAGAGACGGAACCTACTTCTGGAGATGGTGTGGCAGAGCAACAGGGTCAAGGAACTGTTTTACCGGATCTGAAGGGTGGAACTACCGGCAGCCCGGCGGAAGTAACGGCATCATCCATCTCTACAAGTGGCAGTAGTGATGGCCGGAGTAGGGCGGATGAGAATGACGACAACAGCAGAGGGCCCAACCCCGGAGGGCTAAACAACGACCCCGAAGCCAGTCATACCAACGTTGCGCCCACAGCCAGTGAGACAAAACCACCGACAGCGAAAGCAGCAGCTACCGCCAGAACAGATGGTACGGCGTCAGCTGGCGGCAGTGACGGCAGCACCGCGGTCTCCCACATTACCTCCCCTCTTTTTCTTCTTCTTCTTGTTGTTGCGTGTGCGGCTGCTGCCGCGGTGGCTGCGTGAGAGTGAGTGTGAGAGAGCCATGCACCGCCCGCACACACACTCGTCCTTCTCTCTCTGTGTGTGTGTGTCCCCTTGCATGGACTCTCGCCCTCACCTCACCCCACGAGGCACACACAATAATGTGCCCATTGTATATATGCATGCACACCCATGCAGGCCCGTTGGTGCTCTCTTTTGCACGACACGCACCGCTGCCGTCCTGCCTGGCTGCATGGGCGGAGCACCGTAACTGTTTCTGTTTTGTTTCCATTGCATTGAGTGGGCGACCTCTCTCTCTCTCTCCCTCTGTGTGTGTGTTTTGCTTTACGGGAGCAATGAGAGTGTGTGTGTGCTGGTCGTCCCACGCTTCGGCTTTTTGTTTTGTTTTTCTTTTTGATTTTGTGGTTGAGTGCACCCATTTTAATTTCATTGATTGGTTTTCTTCTTAAAGTGCGGATGGCTGAATTTTCCCTTTTGTATTCTCCTGTTGTTTGTTTCTTCCCACGCAATCGGTCCTTGTTGCTTCAGCGAGCCACGAAATATTTCCTAACACCCACATCAATGGCTTACTTGCTCTACACCCCACATTAGTTTGAGACGCTGGTGCTGCTGCATTTGATGATGTTTGTGGTGTGATTGCCGGCGGGTGCTTTGCTGTCACTTTGACGTATCCTCGATTTGTTGAATATGTGATGCGTGCCGAATGCACGAATTGGATCCGCGTTGTTGTGAGGGACGCACCCTTTTTGAGCGGTGAGTGCGCTGCAGCCGTACACCGTCATTGGGAGGGATGAATGGGCGCCCATCCGCATCAACGTATCCACAAGGGACCTGAATGATACCGGGAAGTATTGCATCTCAGAGAGTTACCACGCAATGAATTCATTGAATGACAATTGCTAGTGTGAAGGTGAAGTTGTATCCTCTGCGCACGGGATCATTGTCGAGAATGAAGTTGTCCCTGCTGCTCTCAAACTGCATGCGGATCGTCTGCTCGTGCAGCCACTGGAAGGTCCTTTGATTGTGCCCCCATTTGCCACGGGCAGCGTTTGCAGTCGGTTCACCCACCCGCACATGGCCAGCCGTAGCATGGTGAGGCATGTTACCGGAGCGTGGCAGAGCGCTGTCGGTGGCGGTGCACTCGACGACTGCCGCGATGGCTGCGAGGAGCCCCGCGACTGCGACGACATTGATGGCGTGGAGCTGCAGGATGACGATGGTGACGGGAGGACGCTGGAGTCGCACTGGTCGAAGCGCCACGCGAAGGATGAGTGGATGGCACCGATTGGGAGTGCCGGCTGCCGCACGGAGCTGACGCTGGCCGCACCGGCTGACCTGGGCTGCATGAGGGTGAAGTGGGAGATGGCGGAGCCGATGCGCTGGTGAAGGAATTCGTGCTGTGCGCTGCTGCAGAGGAAGTGCTCCGCAACGAACATGAGTGAATATTCCCACATGTTCTGCGAAGCGGGCGTTCCTGCCAGACGCTGCACGTTGGATCGTATTCCGGTTGTTGGTGTGTAGACGAATTATCCATGAAGGGTCAGCAAAACGCCCGATGGACAGTTGCCCCATCACTGGTCCCGCACTGGATGTGAGGGATGCTGCCGCTGTTATTTGGAGGGAAGAATATTTGTCTGCGGTGCCTGGGGACAAGCCCTCTTCGTGGTGTCTGGACACGCTTCCCACCAACACGACGGATGCGAGGGACCCGGAAGAAACATACATCTCGGTGCTGCCATGCATGCGGCATTGCGGTGCCTCGGCATGCGGATGCGTCTGGGAGTGACTGAGGAGGGTAACGCCCGCTGTGCCCCATGCACGGCCGAGGCGACGATTACGTGGGTTGCTCCACCCTACGACGAGGGAAAAGCTATTTTCCGTGACCACGCGCAGGTGTGCACGATATCCGCCACCAGCGGCAGTCTGCTTCCAATAGTTTCGTGGGGTGGCGAGGAGAGAGGGTGTGTGGAGCAGGACGGTTTCACTGGCATATACTGAACAAGCTTTGCCATGGGCATCCGTCCCCGATCCAGAGAGCATTGGGACCGGCCGTGGCACACCACCGAAGGATGTGGACACGGCTGCTCCCCAGAAGCATCCGTCGCCAGAGGAGAAGGAAGTCGCCTCCGGTGCCACGACGGCAACGGTGTGCTCTTGGCCAGCGACACCGCGAGTGCGCCGCAGGAGGCGGAGAGGGAGAGCGATCTTCCGGACAGCGACGATGTGGCCGCCGATGGTGTGACGTCTGTTGTGGGACAATCATTAGGAGATGAGGCCGCCAGCGACAAGGCCGGTGGCGGTGCCACAGCCACGGGACCCAGGAGCCGTGATGCCGCTGATGACGCGCAGGGCGCCGTGGACCCTCCGCCGAGGGAGGATGATGCGGCGGTGGGGCGCGGGGGTTAGGAGGCAGACATGGAGGACGCCCCGCCTCCGATCCACGGCAGTAACACTGCGGCTGCTGCTTGTCCCTTTCCGCTGCTTCTTCTGCTTGCCGCTGCCGCCGCTGTGCCAACACTCAGCAATGGGTACAAGAGAGAGGCCTATATCAACTGGCATGTTCCTGTCAGTATATACATACACTCTGCTTGTCCGTATACTTTGTACCAGGGACATGCTGTATGCACTCTCCCTCTTTTGTGTTGGTTGCTGATGTGTCGGCACCACGCGTGTATTATGGGTTGGGATAAGAAATTGTTTGACTTCTTCTGGAGTATACAGTGGGGTGTTTGTGTGCGTGTGCGAGGGATCTGTGTGGTTTTGATTTCCCTATTTTTATTTAGCTGCTTTGGCATTGTGTAATGATACTTCCCTTCTCCATTATGTGTGTTCTGAAGTGTTGCTAGGGCACCGGGAGTGGATGCCCGTGGACGCACGCCGTGGATTATGCGCTACATTGGTGGGAGGGGAGACTGACATAACTGGCGGGATTCAGTAAGGCGCTTTTTGCCCACAGACCCTGCAGCCGGAGCAGCCTGAGTGGCGCTTTGCATATGGACGTGTGGATTGTTTCTCTCTTGCGAGGCTTTTACTGCGTGTCATTCTCCGCTCGGGTACCGTGCCCGTGGCCGCAGCGGCGGCATCAAAAGGGCTGTGTGCGTGGAGAGTCCTTGATTGAGTGCCTGTCTTACTTCTTTGTTCTGTTGATTGATTGTACCGTGTGCAGGCCAAACGGTTGACATGACGTTCTTCTGACAGCGGGGTCCACGTGAGACGATGTTGCGTCGCGTGCTTTGTTGCGGGTGTGTGATTACCGCAACGGTTGCTGGGCGGTTGCCTGTTGGGTCGTTGAGGGCGGCGTGGCGACGGGTGTGGATGGACCCGATTGTGTGCCGTGGCTGCTCGTGCGGGGGAGCCGCGGGAAGGAGGAAGGCAGCGGAGCGATGGACTCACGAGGAGTGCGGTGGCGTGCAGCCATGAAGATTGGCGACAGGGAACTCACTGCCGCTGTAAGTCGCCGTGTGTGGTGTTTGTTTCTGTTATTATTGCTTGCGTTGTTGGATGTGGCCGCTGTGGGGGAAGACTGTTTTTTTTTTCTTTTTCACGCCATTTTGGGATCCTTTTCTGCACCGGCAACACTGTGTTCCTGCCGTACTGTTGCGCCCTCTTTCCCTTCCTTTTGGGGGCAGCTGCGGGTGGGTTTTACATGCCGTGGAGTTGTGTGCCGTGCTGTCCGGTGTTTCATTGTTGCCTGTTCTTCCTGCGTGCACGCGTCCCCCATGCTCATGACAGCAGCCCTCATGCAAACGCTACTCCTCCTTTTCCATGCTGCTGATGTGTGTGTGTTCTTCTCCTCCTCCTCTCTTTGTCGCTCCCTAGACTGTGTGTGCAGCCGTGATGATGATGACTGGCCGTGTGCTGCTGGTGTGTGCCCTCTGCGTGCTGTGGTGCGGTGTCTGCGGTGGTGGACGAGCTGAAACAATTCCAGGTTCTTCGGGTTCTTCAGGTACTCCGTCCGGTAAAGAGAAACTTCAAAACGACAAAGATACCGTCGTTGTCACTGGAGAAGTTGACCAAAAAAGTGAACAGGAAGTGACACAAGCAGCCGCAACAACGGGGTCAGGATCACAGAAAGCGGAAGCGAACCCGCCACAGACAACACAACCCGAAGGAGGAGCATCAGAAACGACAAGTCCATCGTCGGAAAAAAAGGATCAAAAAGAAGACGATCAAAAGGAGAAAACCGACGAAGCCGAAGAAGAAGAAGACGAAGATGACGAAGAAGAAGAAGAAGAGGAAGAAGAGGAAAAGGAAGAGGATGATACGGAGGAAAAGGGAGAGACAATGAAAGAAGGAGCTGGTACCAGCACCACAGAGGTGATCTCAGCAGGCGGTCAAGAGCAGAGAAGTTTATCTTCTGCTGCGGAGGAAGCAGAGAATAAAACAAATCCCAACAGCACCCAAACAACTGGAGACGATGATCCAGCAGCTGATGGTGCAGGGACAGCAGAGGGAAAACAAAATGAAAATAAAGATGCCAATCCGAAGGAAACACCAACTGTCGAAGCCACAGCCATGAAAAATACAACGGCGACTGGCGACAGTGACGGCAGCACCGCGGTCTCGCACACCACCTCCCCTCTTTTGCTTCTTCTTGTTGTTGCGTGTGCGGCTGCTGCTGCGGTGGTGGCCGCGTGAGAGTGAGTGAGAGAGAGCCGTGCACCGCCCGCACACACACTCTTCCTTCTCTCTCTGTGTGTGTGTGTCCCCTTGCATGGACTCTCGCCCTCACCTCACCCCACGAGGCACACACATAATGTGCCCATTGTATATATGCATGCACACCCATGCAGGCCCGTTGGTGCTCTCTTTTGCACCACACGCACCGCTGCCGTCCTGCCTGGCTGCATGGGCGGAGCACCGTAACTGTTTCTGTTTTGTTTTTATTGCATTGAGTGGGCGACCTCTCTCTCTCTCCCTCTGTGTGTGTGTTTTGCTTTACGGGAGTAATGAGAGTGTGTGCGCTGGTCGTCCCACGCTTCGGCTTTTTGTTTTGTGTTTCGTGGTTGAGTGCACTCATTCCACTTTTTTTTGATTGGCGGCATGCTTTGACTGACGACACTTTAGTTTTCTTTTGTTATTCCCATATCGTTTTTTTTTTGTTTCAAAAGTGTCAGCCTCGTTTGTCCTTGCGAGGCCACTAAGTTTTTCCTTCGACATACGCCATGCGTCAGTTGGTCCACGTTAACCCGTTGCTTGCAGCGCTTCTGGTGCTGCTTGTTTGTGGTGCCTGTGATTTGACTTTCCAGCGGATGCTTTTTTGTCACCCTGACGCATCCCTGTTTTTTTCTTTTCGATGTGGTGCGTACCGACGGCGCGTGGGCAACTCCGGTTGTGGTGAGGGTCGTGCGTCCCACAGCGCAGGATGTGCCGCAGGTGTGCGGCGTCGTTTGTAAGAACCGATGGGCGCTTGTCCGCATCAAGACGCCAACAAGGATTCCTGATGACAGCAGGAGGCACTGCGGCTTCTCCTGGCCCCAGCGATGGGGTCCGCATCTTGTCGCGGTGCTGGGCTTTGGCTGCGTGTAGGAACTCCGCAGCAGGGCGTTGCGGCGAGCACGACGGAGACCAAGACGACTCCGCCCCTCGAGAAGGTTCCGCGCCATGCCCGGTGCGGGGAGGTGAAGCGATCCGCCTGCGGACTGTCGGACAAAACTGCACGGCCGTTTCGCTGCGGTCACTCCGTTGATATCCCCGTGGCGGTGACGTCCACAAGAACCCTGGCACCGAGGAGGATGGCTGCATCACTGTTTGGCGGCTTAACATTGCAGGCCTCTCGTCCGCAAAAAAGATTGCATCTGCTGTACGATTGGAGCTGCATCAACCTGACATCGTTCTTTTTCCAGGAAATAAATGACTGTAGTGACGTGGCGACGAAAGTTTCTGGCCATAATGACTACCTTCAGTCATGCACTGGGCGCGGTGGTGGCGTTGCCATTCTGGAGCACCACTCTCTGCCGTGCGAGCGCCTGTCGCTCCCTGGCACTGACCTCCTGGAGACCATTGCTGTCTGTGTATTTTATCCGGGCTGTCGCAGCATTTGCGTGGTGAATCTCTACAACCCTCCCACGGAAACTGCTCAAGATTCTACATTTATTAATATCTTCCGTCGCTTGGGCCCCGCTGCCATTATCGCGTGTGACCTGAATTTACATCATGGACTCTGGGACAGTCATATATACCATCAAGGACTGGAGGAGAAAACTTCGTTGCTATTTTAATTGATTTGAACTTTGGGCTGGCAAATGACACGGCGCAGAAAACACGGATCACACATCGTGATGTCCCGTCCCCTGGCGTGACTGCGTATCGCGTACTACGCATCTCCCACCGGGCATCCACCCCCTTACATGGATTAGGACCACTCCTTAATATCTTACTTGGTAGGGATGGATGATGGCATTCCGCGACTAGCCAACACGCTGCCTTGACGGAAGAAAGCCACTTTTGCCCTGCGTAAAGCGGAATGGCCTGCTTTCATTTCGTTGTGCAAAACACTCCTTGCCACCGCGTCCACATGGTTGGACATTCGCAGAGGCATCTTACGAGCGGCTGAGCGCCACATCTCGCGCGGCAGCCGTGACAGCTCCAAAAAGATATGGACACACGAAATGGTGCAAGCCGAGGCCGCCGCAGAAGCAGCACACGAAGCATACACATTGCCTTTCCTGGAAACGTGCTACATTTTACCGAATGTACCCGAAAAAAGGGAGGAACGGAATCAAGCCTTACGCCGTAGTTTCATTAAACTTTTTGAATCCCGTGTGGAAAAACTTGGAGCCTCACCCAGCCCGAGCTGGCGAGATCTTCGCGGCATGGCGGCGCCGCACCCTCATCCACTGGAATCGGTTTTGCTCCGAACTGATCTTCGGACCGCGTTTGCGCTCTGCCTCGGCAACAGGCAAATCTGCTAGTCCGCCATTTTGTGCGGTTTCACGTGCCACATCACCTTATACTGCTGCTGCTGCTGCTCGCCGCACTCCTTTGGTTCCTGGTGGCTGGGAAATGGATCGGCCTCTCACGCTGTATGAACTTGGCGTGGCCATCCGCGACTCTTCGCTCGGCTCAGCCCCTGGCCCCGACAAAATGTTGAATGAGTTCCTGCACCGTCTCGGGCCCGTTGCGCGCGGCGCTCTTAGAACGATGATCCACAACTCCTTTGCAAATGGCAGACTGCCTGGCTCCTGGAATACGGTGGACACCATTCCTATCCCAAACCTGAGAAGGATCCATGCCGCCCAGAGAGTCACAGACCTATCAAATCACTCTCTGTTTTACCAAAGTTAACCGAAGGAATGATTCACCGCCGTCTGTCAGCGTTATTGCCGCACCACCCACGTCAATTCGGGTTCACACCTCCGCGTTCTACATCGGAAGTGGCGACACTTGTCATCGATAAAATTACCCGTGGATTGAATGAGCTCAGCACTGTGGAGTATGAGCGCCCTGGAGGCGACGCCCCCGCACGGCACCCTCGTCGCCATCGCTCGTTCGTAGTCTTGATTGACATTTCGACTGTGTTCGACACCACTGACCATGAGAAATTATTCGGCATGCTTGACAGACTTCCGCGCCTTGGCCTCGAACCAAATGCTGGCTGCACAACTACCTGCGGGGCCGCTATGTTAGGGTGTGCACTCGCGAACAGCACTCCCGGAAACAACTCGCCTCAGCCGTGGCACCGCAAGGCAGCGTCCTGCCACCCAAACTCTTCCTCCACTGTGTGGATGATGTGCTGCACCGCATGGACAGCATCTATTCTGCCGCCGCATTCATTTACGCTGATGCCCTCACGCTTGTTGCCTCAGGTGCGGACATCCATGCCTGTGCTGCGGCAATGCAACCTGCCCTGTCACTTACAACGGCATGGGCTGCCGAGCACAGCCTAAAAATCAACGTCGCTAAGAGCGAAGCTGCTCTATTCTACATCTCTTCACACACACACTGTCTGGCGAGGACATGGTCGATCTCCATCTTGTTAGCGGGAACCAGCGTATTCATTCCCGCCCAGTGCGCTTGCTGGACACAACGATTAATCGCCTTCTTAATTTTGGCACGCACGCCTCCACCGCTGCAAAGCAGACCATGCCACGCCGCCATAGGCTGCGGCTGGGTGCAGAGGCTGGGGCATCCCAGCACACCACGCGATCCCTTCTGGTTGGGTGCGTCCACAGTGCGTTGCACGACGGCGACGAGGCAATCGCACCGTGTCCGGCACCCATTCACCTCCACAGCCTGGAAGTGCGGCACCGCGACAGCTGTAAAGCATCTCTTTTCTTTAGCGCACCAAAGGAAGATACATCCGTCTGCTTGGAATCCAATCTTTTCCCGCTCCAAAAGATACTCTGGCTTCTTGCACTCACACAATACGAACGCTATATACGCCTCCATGATTACGAGGATTTGCGTTCCCTTATCTACTGGGAACATATGCCGCCGTCCATGCATGAAAAGCGGCGAAATCAATCCTGCTTCCGAGGATGCTGTTATTAATGGATTACGCCGCGTATGTAATATTATTGGGACACCCCACAGCCACAATCGTGCTCCTCCTATTCAACATCGAATTTTCCTGGGACACTGTGCGCTGCAATAAAGTGGAATTTATCAGCCACGCTTTGCCCAAGACGCCTCTGACGACGTCAAGCGCACGGCTCTTGATTCTATTTACTCCTATCTGGGAGCGTATGATTTTGAATTATGGACAGACGTTTCTTCCTCTCTCGCTGAGCTTGCATCTGGATCCGCTGCACCATTGTACGGCTCCACCACGACAAATGATCTCCCTGTGGAGGTCCATCGTGCAGCAGCTGGCAGGCTCGCACGCTCATAGAGCAGAGTGCCTTGCCACTGAAAATGGCATTAGACATCTCATACCTTTTTGTCTGGAAACATCCCAATCGCCCACACGAATCCTGGTGGCAACGGACTCCCTCTCGGCAATCACACCGCACACATCATCACAACCACAAGCACCAGCAGCACTGCAGACCGTGGGTTAACGTGACCAATTGGCGCATGCTGTACGTAAAAGAAAGCAATTAATGGCTTGACAGGGATAAGAAACACTGACAATATCGCAAAACAAAAGAAAAAAAGAAAACAAAATAAAAAATCATGCGTCCACATTCTAAGCAAACCACCAATCCAAAAAACAAAAACATAATGAGTGGACTCAACAATAAAAAGTAAAGGAAAAACAAAAAGCCGAAGCGTGGGACGACCAGCGCACACACACTCTCATTGCTCCCGTAAAGCAAAACACACACACAGAGGGAGAGAGAGAGAGGTCGCCCACTCAATGCAATAAAAACAAAACAGAAACAGTTACGGTGCTCCGCCCATGCAGCCAGGCAGGACGGCAGCGGTGCGTGTCGTGCAAAAGAGAGCACCAACGGGCCTGCATGGGTGTGCATGCATATATACAATGGGCACATTATTGTGTGTGTCTCGTGGGGTGAGGTGAGGGCGAGAGTCCATGCAAGGGGACACACACACAGAGAGGAAGACGAGTGTGTGTGCGGGCGGTGCATGGCTCTCTCACACTCACTCTCACGCGGCCACCACCGCAGCCGCAGCCGCACACGCAACAAGAAGAAGAAGCAAAAGAGGGGAGGTGGTGTGGGAGACCGCGGTGCTGCCGTCATTGTCGCCAGTCGTCGCCGTTGTGGGTTTCGTGGCTGTGGCCGTCACTGGTGTTTCTTTCGGATTGGCATCTTTATTTTCATTTTGTTTTCCCTCTGCTGTCCCTGCACCATCAGCTGCTGAATCACCGTCTCCGGTTGTTGTTGTGCTGTTGGGATTTGTTTTATTCTCTGCTTCCTCTACACCAGAAGATAAACTTCTCTGCTCTTGACCGCCTGCTGAGATCACCTCTGTGGTGCCGGTATCGGCTTCTTTCATTGTCTCCCCATCTTCTTCCGTATCATCCTCTTCTTCTTCCTCTTCGTCTTCTTTTTCCTCCGTTTTTTCTCCTTTTTGGTTGTTGTTGTCCTTCGCTGCCTCTGCCTTTTCAAATGATACTCCTCCGGGTTGTGGTGCCTGTGCCGCTTCTGCTGGCGCTCCCTGTAATCCTGACGTCATTGGTGCTGCTGCTTGTGGCGCTTTCTTTTCACCGTTTTGGACACCTTCAGTGACAACGACGGCCTTTCCTTTTTGAGATTCCTCGTCGGGCGTAGTATCCGAAGGAGCTGGAGTTGCTTCAGCTCGTCCACCACCGCAGGCACCGCACCACAGCACGCAGAGAGCACACACCAGAAGCACACGGCCAGTCGTCATCGCCATCACTCCTGTCACTTGCGTGCAGCCTTCAGCACAAACTAACAGCACGTCAACGCAAAGTGAAAGCAAAAGGCAGAGACAAATCACAAAGTAACACGACGGTTACATCACAGAGCACACAGCAGCAGAGCACACAGGACGAGATAGTTTGGATCAGCACGATTGCGGAAATTGCACGCCGCACTGAAAACCACAAGATTAAAAAGCACAACAAGGAAAATCAAAACAAAAGCAAACAAGCAGCAACAAACTAAAAAAATGTAAAAACAGAAACACAAAAACAGAAACCTCCACTTAAATGGCTCCAGTGTGCATGCATCCATCCCCAACAGTGGGTCCACGCAAACAGTTGTATGCGTGGCGTGCATACAATTTTGTCTGTGATGCGTTCAATGTGACGGATGTGGGAAGTAAAGAGAAGCACACAGCATGGCAGCGGAAGAAAACAAAGCAAAACAGAATCATCATAACTAATCTTAATTTATACTTCGAACCACAGTAGACGCGCACAAATCCCCGTGATTGAGTGCTGGCACGCACAGCCCGCACACACCTCTTCAGCCCAGAGTGATGTACACCATCGCGGATACGACGACCTCTGCAGCGGGGCACATACCCACGCAGAGCTGCTGAGGCTGCCGTCGATTTCGCGAAGACGTGGCGGTGCGGGTCGTTGTCGTGATTGTTTTGTTTGGCATTTTGATCTTCTGATTTGATAACTGTGCCTTATGATTCTCATCGCCTTGTGTATTTTACTGCTCCTTTATTTTGTGCATCTGACATACCGGTCGCACCTTGTGTGTGTGTGGAGACTGAGTTGCCAAACCTGGTGGCTCTGGATTATCGCTAGCCGAACTCAGTGACTCTGGCGGAGCTCGTGTCTGTCCAGTGATGGCTGTGCCTGCTTCCTTTGGCAACGAAGGTCCTGGACTTCTCAAACCCTCCTCGCTGTCTCTCCCACTCTCTGTCTGTGGCACACCGGTCTCCCCACCATATAGCCGTAATGCACCAGGCATATTTTTGTAGGATCCGGTTTCCCTAGCTCGGGGCTGGGAGGACGGCTGTTATCATTATTATCGTCTCCTGTCGCCGTCACACACACGGACGAGCAGCAGCAGCACAAGAGCACAAGGACCAACACGGCGCCGCACCGTCACCATCGCAGTCATCATCGCCCGTAGTGGAGTCGCTGGTGTCAGTCAGCCGATCGGTGAGACGGAAGGAAAAGAATGCAACAAGAGGAGATGGACGGAGCACAGCGGATACAGCGAGAGAGCGCAGACAACATGAGGAGAGGGCAGCAGGCCCAGCCGCACAGTTCACACACCACGAGACGGCATCCACGCAAGAAAGGCACACAACGCCAGCAGCCACCCACCATGCAGGAGGAGAAGACATCCACCACCATCACCCCCAGCTCATTCCCGCAGCCCCAGGGAAATGGACAAAACCCCGCGGCCACCACACAACGCACACGGAGCAGGCGAACCCTCATCCATCCATCACGCGGCACAAAAATTTCCTGCCATCCCGCCATCAATGGGACACGGAGCCCAACTCAACGCAGTCACACGCGGTGCATCACACCCGCAGGAAAATAGAGTCGGGGCGCGCTCCCTCTTCCCTCCTCCTCATGGCCACGGAAGAAGACAACAGCCGCCACACGCAACCGCCAGCATGCATTGCAAAAGGTGCATCCAAATCCACTGCAATGTGCATCTTGTGTGTGTGGTTGTGTGTGCCTGCAGAAACAAGAAAAAAAACAAAAAAAACAGCGACCAGAGCATGTGGAGGGACGCACAAAAATGTACAGCGGGGACGCATAACGGAAACAACAACAAGAAGACCGCTCAAACTCATGACTGCACTGCAGCCCAAGCAGCGGCAATTCACACAATATTTATTGAAAACAAAAAAACGTCCCCCTTCGTCTTATGTAAACCCCATCACACAAAATAATTATAAATGAAAAAGAAATCGTCCATTACTGCTCCACACAAATTTAAAATAAGAAAAAGATCGCCTGGCTGCCGTGTGGCCACACCAAACTGTCTGTATGTATTTTGCCCGCAAAAGAAAATTAAAAAGATGGTTGCGTGTGCTTCGACCGTCCGACCCTCCACGTGTCCGCACATCGTTTATATTTCATGGGGTCATCCGCGTGTTGCTGCTCCCCTCAGCCCTCTCATCGGCGTGCGAGTGCGGCCCGCAGAGCACAGTCACTCGTGTGTGTGGGGACTGAGAGAAGCACGCAGACACGACGGCAGTCGCGTCACTCCATCGGGAGAGTGAGCGCAGCAAAAGAAAAGAAATCATCGGAGGGGAGAGAAATGCTCACGAGGCCGACACCGAAGGGTGCGCCACCGCATGAAATAAACACGCAAAGAAAAACAAATCCTTAAAGAAAAACACGGCGGCAGGGTGTGGCTGTGTGTGTGGCGCTGCGGGTGTCTGCCCGCCCTGGCCGCAAAGAAAACAAAACAAGAGGGAAGAAATGTGTGCGCCGCCCCACAGGCCCTCGTCGCACGCCCACACGTCACGGCTCCCTCAGCGCGCCGTTCGTCGCGGCCCCTCCTCATGCGTGCAGCAGGCGAGGCGCACAGGGCCGTCGTCGTGAGCGTGTCGGTGGGTGTGCGAGTGGAGCAGTTGGGCGGGAATCACACGGCACCCCTCAGGAAGAGTGCAGAAGAAACAATTAAAGAGGGAAGAGCAGAAAAGAAGAACGTCCATAGTGATTGCCCCAAAAAGCAAAAAAGAAGAAGAAAAGGGGATATAAAAACGCACAGCAAAGCAAACAGGGAAAAAGTAAATAAAAGTTATTAAAGAAGATAAATTAATTGCCGTGTGTGTCGGTGCAGGGAAGGCCGCAAGTGTCCCACGCGGCAGCCAGTCACTCCTCACAGAGCCGCAAGCCCCCACAGTCCCAACAGAAGAAGCAGCGGCAACAGTCCGCTCCCACGCACAGTGCCGGCATCGGTGTTATTCCCCTGCGACACATTTCCGAGACTGCTGCTGAGTGCCGTGGCATTTACTTCCCTGTCCTGTGCATGGATTCCCTCCTCCTGCACATCCGTTCCTTCCGCCCTCTCCCCATTCGCACCAGAGCTCACGCTCACCTCAGGAGTTTGGATTAATCCATCTCCCTGAACCGTTTCTCCACTCCATGCTGCCACAGCTTTGTCACCACCAGACGAGGGAGTGCCATCCGCATTTTTGTTTCCACTGGAAGAGGTTCCAGATGTCGGTTGCTTTACGGGCTCCTGTCCTGAAGAAGCTGCGGCGGTAGACGTCGCTGGTGTGGATGCGCCGCCAGCTCCGGCAGCAATACTCCCCTTCGGTTGTCCCTGCTCCGACGGCAGTTGCCCGGCAGAATTGGACTGGGTCACGGTTTCCTGCACATCTGATCCACTTAACGCTGGTGAACGAGGAGGTGTCTTCGATGTCTTCGGACCTTCCCGCTTCGGATTCGTAATTTTATTTTTGACGAGCCCAGCAATCTCCTCGGAACTTAACGGGCGGTTGTACAGCAATACGTTCGTCACAGTCACAGACACGTCTTGGACCCCTGAGTCGCCTTTGTCGCCTCCATTCCCCCCAATGTAGAAGTGGGAGACCGCTTTTGAATCCATATCCGAGCTACGTTGCGCATTCCCAACAAGTGTATCATCGACGTACGCGGAGCCTTGGGTGCCGTTCTGTAGCACAATTACGACGTGGTGTGTTGTATCCTTCTCCCAAGAGCTGCTATGCTCCGTCGTCTTTCCGCCACTGCACAGCACTGCCCGCTTCCCTTCTTTGTTGTACGACAGTCCCAGGAATACAGTCTTCTCACTGTCATTCAGCTTCACACCAATCAAAGGAATGAGGGTATCTCCCTCTGGCACACCGTGGATGGACACCGTCGCCACAAGAGTGAAGTTGTAGTTCGCAAAGTGATACAGCTGATTCACCCCTTGCTCGCCAACAGGCCACTCCGCCCACGCTCCCTGGAACGTCACTCCGCTGGCATGCAATGTTGCCTTCTTACCCCCTTCATTACTCTCCACTGTGGCGTTCACCCCGAGGTACTCGTCCCTCCATGTGCCATCAGAGAAGTTGCCGGACAAAAGGCCAACCAGCCCATCCGTGATCTTAAAATTAGGGCTGCAGGCAGTGTTAGGTGAGGTACTCTCCACAGCGCTCTCAGAAGGGCACAGCTTGGAGACACGGTCGTCCGCTTTCTTCCACGTCGCCAGCACATCCTTCACACGCTGCAGCTGCGCAGTCAGAAGCACAGACCAAAGGCTGTTTGATGGTTTGTCCCCACCGTCCTTCTTCTTCTCGTACAGTGCAATCAACTCCTCCTTCTGCTCATTATTATCTCCACTTCCAGCACTTCTGTACAACAGGGAGCTGGTGATATCGTCATCCTTCTCGGATACCGGCCCAATATCAACAATGTGCGTATTGTCCGTCAGCCAAAGATGGAGTTTGCCCTTTCGATTGCCTCCTTTCTCAGCCTCCTCGGGATACACCGGCAGAGTGACAAGCATCACATTTCTCTTATCAACACCGTTAAGAGTCGCTGTGATGAACCCGCTTCTAACGGCCTTCGCTTCTGCGCCCTGTTTTTTGCCCCACACGCGCGAGAGTGTCCCGAGTGCCTCCGTCCACGACTCCCCCTTGTCACCGGACTCGTACACCCTGCGGCGGCCATCGTCACACGCAGTCATCATCATGAGTTTTTTGTCCTTCTCTCCCCACGACGGAGGGATCACTGCAGCCATCGTCAGACATCCCCTTCGACAGCGTCCAACTGGTAGTGTTCTTTGAGAATATGATCAGCGAAACGGCCTTCTTCTTTCCCTCCTTTACACTCTTTGTGCCGTCCACTGGGAACACAAGTTTATCGCCCTTCATCTCAAATCCCGATCCACCACTTCCAATCAGTCCTTCCAAGGATTGAAGTTCTTTGCCGAAAGCTGCCCGTGACAAATCCGTAGTCTCCTTCCAGTCAATTTGTT